CAAGAGGGGGGGGCGCAAATCATCGCCGGCGGCACGTGCGCAGCCCAGGGGGGGGGGAAGGGACGCATTGAAATAAGAAGAGGCGCCATGAGATCTGGGGAGATATCATGGCCCCCGCCATCCCAGAGATCCGATGCCGTGTTTTTCCCATACGGGGTCCCCGGAAATCTCGACCCCTTTCCCAGGACCTGTTTTTCATCATGAGTAGTTTTGTTGACGGTCCCGAGGCCTGGCGAGGGCCCCTAGGGGCCGAAATTTGCGAAAAAACTGTCTTGTTTTTTCCCAACCATCCTGTGGTGTAGGCTCCTCGTTTTGAAGAGAAGGCGCCCCGCGTTCCTTCCTCCTCCCGCTTCTCCCTCCCCCTCCTCCCTCCTCCCCCTCATTGCCTCTGCTCTCGGCACACCCCTCACACCTTTCGTAGCCTCGTAGGGAGCTCCACCGAAGGTCCCAGTGGGGGTGCCCGCATGCGCCCCCCACGCCCAGCACAGCGCTTCGTGGCCCCATAGGGAGCTTCACCGAAGGCCCCAGTGGGGGTGCCCGCATGCGTCCCCCACGCCCAGGACAGCGCTTCGTGACCCCATAGGGAGCTCCACCGAAGGCCCCAAGTGGGGGTGCCCGCATGCGCCCCCCACGCCCAGGACAGCGCTTCGTGGCCGCATAGGGAGCTCCACCGAAGGCTCCAGTGGGGGTGCCCGCATGCGTCCCCCACGCCCAGGACAGCGTTTCGTGGCCCCACAGGAAGTTCCACCGAAAGCCCCAGTGGGGGTGCCCGCATGCGTCCCCCATGCCCAGGACAGCGCTTCGTAGCCCCATAGGGAGCTCCACCGAAGGCCCCAGTGGGGGTGCCCGCATGCGCCCCCCACGCCCAGCACAGCGCTTCGTGGCCCCATAGGGAGCTCCACCGAAGGCCCCAGTGGGGGTGCCCGCATGCGTCCCCCACGCCCAGGACAACGCTTCGAGGCCCCATAGGGAGCTCCACCGAAGGCCCCAGTGGGGGTGCCCGCGTGCGTCCCCCACGCCCAGGACAGCGTAGCGTGACCCCATAGGGAGCTCCACCGAAGGCCCCAGTGGGGGTGCCCGCATGCGTCCCCCACGCCCAGGACAGCGTAGCGTGGCCCCATAGGGAGCTCCTCCGAAGGCCCCAGTGACGGTGTCCACTTGCGTCTCCCGTACCCAGGACAGCGCTTCGTGGCCCCATCGGGAGCTCCACCGAAGGCCCCAGTGGGGCGAAGGCCCCCGTGGCGCAGTTCGCATGCGGTTCCCCCACCCAGGGCAGCGTTTCGTGGTCCCGTAAGGAGCTCCACCGAAGGCCCCAGTGGCGCAGTTCGCATGCGGTTCCCCCACCCAGGGCAGCGTTTCGTGGCCCCATAGGGAGCCCCACCGAAGGCCCCCGTGGCGCAGTTCGCATGCGGTTCCCCCACCCAGGGCAGCGCTTCGTGGCGCCATAGGGAGCTCCACCGAAGGCCCCAGTGGCGCAGTTCGCATGCGGTTCCCCCGCCCAGGGCAGCGCTTCGTGGCCCCATAGGGAGCTCCACCGAAGGCCCGCCCCAGTGGCGCAGTTCGCATGCGGTTCCCCCACCAAAGGCAGCGCTTCGTGGCCCCATAGGGAGCCCCACCGAAAGCGGCACCCACAACGCGTTACGAACAATTGCTTATGGTTGGGTCCTTCGCCAGCATAAGTTCAATGCGTTGGATCTCTGGGATGATATCCACCCCCCCCTAGTCCTCACCCCCCTCTTGGCCGCCCCCGAACGAGGCGGCCCCCACGGCATCCCCCAAAGGCCCTCGAGAGGCCCCCCCGACGGGCCGGGCCCCGACGGGCCCCCCCTCGGAGCCCACGGCTCAAGCCCACGAGGGCTCCCCAGAGGCCCCCCGGGAGGCCTCCCGCGGAGGCCACCGAGCGCGCGCAGGGGCCATCGAGACGCGGCCGGCACGCCCCTGCCATGCACTGGTCGCCGAGCATGCGCCACACAGCGCATGCAGCTCACAGACTCGCCCTCCTCCTCATCCTCCTCGTCCTCCTCGTCCTCCTCCTCGCGGCATTGTGCACTCGCGTGCGTCAATCAGCCTGGTGGCGGCCAGGAACGCACCGCTGGCATCCTCGAGAATCAGCCACCGTGCCGCAGGGACTCGATGGAGTGTCCTGAGGCCACTTCGAGGTCCTCGAGATGGAATGCTGTCCTCCAGATGGAATGCTGAAAATCGTAGACTGTGAACCAGTATTGGTCGTAAGGTTTTGCAGCGATTTACGCGTTCTCGCCTTTTCGGGCTTCCGACAGCCAAAGACGGCCCCAGAGGTCTCCAAGATAGCAATAGCCCCCAAGAGCGCCCCAAAACTGGCCAAGAGGGCCACAAGGCGGCACAAGAGGCCCCCAAGACGGCCCCCCAGAGGAGAGGGCCCAAGAGGCTTCCGAGACGGCCCCGAAGCGGCCCAAGAGGGTCCCAACAGGGCCACACGATGGCTAAGGGAGGCCCCGAGACATCGAAGGCGTCAAAGGGACAAGAGAGCCCGAAAAGGCTTCCTCCTAGTCCTCATTTTCCTCCCTCTCCTCCTCCTCATCCTCCTCCTCCTCCTCCTCCTGCTCCTGCTCCTGCTCCTCCTCCTCCTCCTCCTCCTCGCCACCAGCCTTATCCTCCTCCTCCGCCTCCTCCTCCTCCTCATCATCATCACCATCACCATCACCATCACCATCACCATCACCATCATCATCATCATCATCATCATCATCATCATCATCATCATCATCATCATCATCATCATCATCATCATCATCATCATCATCATCATCATCATCATCATCATCATCATCATCATCATCATCATCATCATCATCATCATCATCATCATCAGCATCATCATCATCATCAGCATCATCATCATCATCATCATCATCATCATCATCATCATCATCATCATCATCATCATCATCATCATCATCATCATCATCATCATCATCATCATCGTCAGCAACAGCATCATCATCATCATCTTCTTATTCATCATCATCATCATCATCAGCAGCAGCAGCATCATCATCAGCATCATCATCATCACCACCACCACCATCATCATCATCATCATCATCAGCATCAGCATCAGCATCATCATCAGCAGCAGCATCATCAGCAGCATCAGCATCAGCATCAGCATCATCATCATCATCACCATCATCATCAGAATCAGCATCATCATCGTCATCATAATCATCATCATCGTCATCATCATCATCGTCATCAGAATCATCATCATCATCATCGTCATCATCAGCAGCATCATCATCACTATCAGCATCAACATCACCATCATCATCATCAGCATCATCAGCATCAGCATCATCAGCAGCAGCATCATCATCAGTATTGTCGTCATCATCGTCATCATCGTCGTCATCATAGATAATCATTGTAGTCATCATCAGAATCATCATCAACATCATCCTCGTCAGCAGCATCAGCATCAGCATCATCACCGTCAACGCCAGCGCCATCATCATGTTCATCATCATCATCATCATCATCATCATCATCATAATCAATATCATCATCACAATCATCAGCATCACCACAACCACCATCATCATGATCAGCCTCATCATAATCATCATCAGCAAGGCCATTGCAATCATCATGACAATCAACAATATCACCATCACCATCAACATCAACATCGACATCACCGTCATCCTCATCATCATCCTCTTCCTGTTCCTCATGCTCTTCCTCGTCCTCGTCCTCCCCCGTCCCCCTCTCGTCCTCCCTCGAGTGTTCCCCGAAGGGATTCCATAACACTTTAGGGAGCAAATAGTCTAACAACGCGGCTAGACGCGGTCCCGACGTTTGGCCACATGGGCTCTTCCAAGGGGCATGGGACGGCAGTAGGTTACCGCAGGCTGTCTTCGATACTGGTCGTCGTCGGCGTCTCTGACAGCATCATCATCATCATCATCATCATCATCAGCAGCAGCAGCAGCATCAGCATCAGCATCATCATTATCGTTATCAGAACCACCACCACCACCACTACCATGAGCAGCATCATCACCATCATCATCAGCATCGTCATCATCCTCATCATCAGTATCAGCATCATCAACATCAGCATCGTCATCGTACTCATCCTCATCGTCATCACCACCATCATCATCATGATCGTCATCATAATCCTCATCCATCATCAGACTGGTCGACTTCATAATCAGCAGAAACATCCTGGGCATCGTGACAACGACTATGAACTACTATTACTACTCTGGCGACCACAATCGCAAACATACCCATCAGCCACAAGGATCATCATCATCATCATCAGCATCATTATTATTATGATCATCAGCAACATCATCAACATCGTCATCATCAACATCATTATCAACATTATTGATATCACCATCATCATGGCCGTAAGCATCATCATAATCATCGGCGGTGGCGGCGCAATCGCAATGAGCATCTCGATAATCATCATGATCATCATCATCGTCATCATTATTATCATCATTAGCATGAACAAGAGCACCATCATCATCAGCAACACCATAATCAGCATCGTCAGCATGGTCGCCTTTATCGGCACCAAACTGAACTTAATATTCGTCATCATCAGCAGCACCAGCTGCAGCAACAGTATCGCCATCATTACCAACACTGTCATCATAATAGTAGTAATAATAAGAAACATCATCATCAGCATCCCAGTCGTCGTCGTCATCACCATCATCATCAGCATCATCATCGTCAGCGCCATTGCCACCATCATGAACATCAAAATCAACCGCCTCATCATCATGACCATCACCAATAAACATCGTCATCATCAGCAGCATCAGCATCAGCATCAGCATGATCATCATCGTAATGGCGATTTCCATCGCCGCCTTCGTCAATGAACCCTTCGTCGTCTTACTCCTCCTCATCGTCTTGAGCCCCCGCCGGGGGGGGGGGGGGGCCAGCAGCGCCGTGTCTATGCCAGCCAGCAGTCGCAGCCGCAGGTCGACGATACTGTACAAATCGCCTGGGAGCGAAGCGACCGTTCAGGCACGTCTACTCCTCATCTACCGATCCGTACATCAATCCTCATATCATGCCTTCTCACTGCTTCCCCCTTCCTTCATACCTCCGACACTGTTCCCTCCACGCATCCCTTCCTACTGTTCATCCTCCTCCCTCCCTCTCAACCCACCTTCATCCTCCTTGTCGTCCCCTCCGTCCATTGTTTCTCGGTCCTCCCCCACATGTCTCCCTGATTCGTCGTTTTTCTTGCCCCTGTCCTCCCTCGGCCCTCCCCCTCTCCTGGTTCCCGCCCTGCATCATCGTCGCTTAGCCTCCCTCTCTCCCCTCCCCAATCTCCCTTCCTCTTTCCTCTGTTCCACCCACCCATCAATCCCTCTCACCCCTCTCGCCCCCTGACCGCTATCCTCCTCCTGCTCCCCAGAATATCCTCCTCCTCCCCCTCCTCCTCCTCCTCCTCCTCCTCCTCCTCCTCCTCCTCCTCCTCCTCCTCCTCCCCCAAAATCCTCATCCCCCCTCCCAGCCCCCGCCCCCTCATTCTCATCCTCGCTTTCCTCCCATGAGGAGGGGAAGGGGAGGGCAGTGGCCCACGAGAGGGAAGCAGAAGAGAAAGAGAGAGAGAGACAGAGAAACAGAGGATGACGACGAGGACGTTGTTCGCTCACGGCTGGTGGAACAAATGCGGCAGGTGGAAACTAAATCCAAACCAGCGCACAAGATGGGTTAGTTAACCTACACTGGACTACCGAAGGAGAACTGGAAGTCCGAGACCCCCCTTTTCAACCCCCTCTCGTCAATGACGATGCCTTGGATTCGCCCCGCCGCTACACTGAGCGCTGCAAGGATTAAACGCCGCGGTGCCCCCGCCAGCAAAGACCCGTTTCCCCCCCCCCCCGTTCAATGTTGTTGCGGCGCGCCGTCCTACGCGGGGCTGCCCAACGCCAAGATTACAGAGGGAGGCTTCACAGGGGTGCCCAGGCGCGCGGGCAATCGTGTCGCGCGTGCGATGTGTGGTGGTTACGATGACGACGATCGGTTTGTACATGTGGCTCGACGTTAGTTCTCACGCATCGCACTTAGAGTACCCCCACAACGATGTATTCATATACATGCATACAGACATGCATACATGCGTACATGTATACATACATACATGCACATATACATGCATAGACACATACAGACAGGCATACATACGTACATACAGACGTGTATGCTGACATACATACATACGTACATACAAACGCGCATACATACAAACACGTATAAATACACCTTCACGTATGCATATACACATCTGTGTATACATATACGTGCGTGTGTGCGTGTATGTGTGCGCGCATACAGATACACATCAGTATCCGCGCAAGCAGCTACACTGGCACGACAAATACGGGAGGACGCAGGGACTAAGGCGAACCCCTTGAGCAGAAAAACCGACCGAGGACCGACAGAGCATCGACAGAGGCCGAAGGCCACGAACGACCCCGCCTCCAAAACAAACACCCGATGATCACGGCGAGTGTTTTGGGAAGGGCCCCGGACGGGGCGAACAGATAAGCGAAGACGAGAAGGACTGGCCAGACACTGCATAGGTCACTTGCCCTGCCCGCCGCCCACGCCCACATGCTACTACACTGCCAGGCGCACTCGGCTGAGCAGCCCGTGGCTCGAGAATGACTGCGAGTCGTGCTTCACCCACCACTCTCAGCCATCACACCGTTGCAACGACAAGTTGTGAGCCTCGGCCTCACTCGTGGAAGAAAGCAAAATCTACATGTATAAATATTCACACACACACACATCGTAAACCACTTCTCCAGTCCAACGCAGAAGATGACACCTTTGAGAACGTTGGCCCAAGCCGAAATCTCCTCCCCCAGATAGTCCGTCGGCGACGGGCACTGGGTGAGCATCGGCCCGATCGTTCCGCCGCTCTTTGGCTGAAAAACGAAATACGCGCGTGGTGATTGCTCGCTGTGCCCGTAGCCGAACGGCACGGGATCCTGAGACATCACACGCAACACTCGTGAGGGCCGTCGCGGACCGCACCCGCTTGCTGGAGCACGACCGCCGCTTACCTGCGGTCGTGGATGCCATGACAATGGACACCCTGACAAGCCGATCATTGGATTAAAAATGTGCTTGAAATATTTGAAAGTGTTCTGAAGTGTCGAAGATATGTGTTGCATGTTTGATACTTGTCTAAGCCATGTTTTAGACATCTGGAAAGTATTTGGCAACATGCCTCCTCTCCATTGACCGTCGTCCACAACGCTTGCCTGCGGATTGCTCGGGAGGCCAGGGACCATTGACCGCGGCACCACATCTTGCACTCGCTCTTGCGGAACGGGTGCGTGGACGCTGCCCCCGAATCCCATCCCAGAGGTACAGTCGAGGCTGATTAGTAGGTCGACCCTGCCAAATAAAGGGTACCCTTGCGACCTGTGCCTCGCGACCCATGCTTCTTGTCCTCTTCAATCCACCCCGACTGCACCTCCAGGCTGGTGCCGTCACACACCGCTCCTGAAAGGGACACCTGCAGTCGGCGGTGCGGTGCTGCCGACACGGTCGTTCTCCGGAGAGGCTACAGGGAGGCTGCACACGGGAGCTCACTCGAGGGCGAGCGGTAACGATTGCAGAGCGAAGAATCGCAGTCCCCCGCTGCGCTACCAAAATTACGAGTAGGAATGGAAGGTAGGAGACTCCAAATTCCAGTACGCGTGAAACAAATGGCAAGCTTTACTGTCTGACTCGAGCCGAGTGGTTGCGCACAGAAGGCTGGCCGCAACGCGCGCGCGCACTGGAGGTCATCTAAATGCTAAGCTGGTCTGGGATACACCTTTCGAGCAAACCTGTCCCTGCAGGTCAGATGTATGAAAAACCCGCCGGATTCAGAATTGCAAAATGCCTGCGGCCAAGTGAACCCCAACGGAGGAGCCCCATACCCAAGCGCCAAGGAGATACGCACGGGTGGGGTTCGAATGTGGTCACAGAGCAGAAGCCTCTGGAGACTTTATCTGGCTGCGCCGCTCCTCACGGATCCGATGTCTTGGTTTGTCCGGCACGAGAGAGATACAGAGAGGACAAAAAAACGGCGACAAACAAAAAAAGAAAACGCCATGATGGCACATCAGCACAAAAAACGCCGTGCAATTGTGCACTCGCAGTGGTGAACGAACGACCGGCTACAACCCTCTGCCAGCTGCGCTGCTGTGAAACATCAACGATAGCACATCCTGGACGGTTGCTGCGCTGCTTGCTGCGCAGCTAGCCGCTGAGTTCTCATGCGGCGCGTCCTCAAAAGACGAGGACGAAGACGACCATATTTTCGATATGGGGTCCCCAGATGTCCCGGCGCTTTCCCTGGGGCGGCTCTTTATCCAGAACATTATTATGTTACGGCCCTGGGGCCCAGCGAGGTCGCCCCCGCTGAGGCCAACGACGACGAAAAACCTCCGTCCAGATGTTTCGAGGCCGAGGGATGTCGGGGTCTCCTCCCCGCTCCCAGACGGCGAAGCGCGAGGCGAAAACTCTCTGAGTTGGATTATGAGGTGGATCCCCCCCGCGGCGAGGAGAGCACCACCAGAAGGCCTCGAAGTAGGCGACAAAAAAACTCCGAAGACGACCTCCGCCTGCAGACCTTGTGCCCCTGCTGCAGCTCTTCGTTCCTTCTCGCTTCTCGCTCCTCCTCCTCCTCCTGTTCCTTCTCCTGCTCCTCCTCCTCCTCCTCCTCCTCCTCCTCCTCC